TAGCAACTTTAACCTGTCACTTTATTATACTAGATTTCAATTTAGAATATATAATTAAAATACGTGGAATTGGGTTGAAAAGTTTGTGCAATTTTTTAAATTTTCGTACGAAATTTGAAATTTGAACTTATATGCTTTTTGTTAGATAGGAGCTGAACTTTAGCAATAATTAAATTTAATGCAAAAGTAAAGTAGTCAAAATTGGTAAATATGTTGATGTGCTATCGGCGGGCTGCCACCTTTTTGAAAATCTTTACTCAGTTAAATTCATAGAATAAATGAAATATTGCAACGTGGGTATTATACTTAAAAAGTTTTAAAAGGGCTTATTTATAGTCAAATATATTTTTGGGGAGGGTTGCAACCTATTTGAAAATGAACCTCAATTAAATTGATAAACTTAATGATATTTCAATATGGGTATCAACTCAAAGAGGTTCAAGAAAGGTGGGTAGGTAGGTAGGAAGGTAGGTAGAGGTGGCTGCCGCCTTAGCGGTAGAGATGGGTAACTCAACTCAGAGTTGAGTTATTGAGTTGATTCGCATAAGTGAACCGGTAACTCACAATTAGCTTCCCTATTGAAGCAGTTCGTGTCGCTGATGAATCTCATCAGACACCTCGCATCGGTATTCGAAACCTCCCTAAGGTCGGCCAGGAACGGTGAACTCAGATGACGCAGCCTGCTTCTACACTTTCTTCTTCTGCAACAGCACGCCGAGCCTTTCTGCACGCTTACCTATTAGACAGTGCCCGGTTAGGGCCCCACGACATTAGATATGTCCTCTCTTCTAAGAGAGTATACCCTTCGTGACCGGTTCCACTACCATGTAGGCCAAGTCTGCCTGAAAATTCTACAAGTCGTACTTTGTTGTTTGTAAACAAATTCACTAAGTAGCAGCTTGCAAGTGGCAAAAGGCATACCAATGCGTTATTTACCAAGAATAATCTGCCTGTTCGTGCCTTGCCTTTTAAGTTCATCTGCCATGCAGTTTCTCACTATATGTCCCTATGACCAGGGACCCAAGTGAGGTGAATTCTGTTCTGCTTGGCCATCTCCTGTAGAGGTAGGCGGCAGTCCAGCGCAATCTTTGAGTGAAACGTTAAAGAGCTCAGAGCTTTGATTGCAGCCTGGCTATGACTAAAAATGAAGATGCCCTTTTCCATCATTTCGGTTCCAAGCTTCTCAGCAGCTTCCAATGATATGTAGCTGAAACTTCAGCGTGGAATGTGCTGCAGTAGCCGGTAACCTAAAAGAGATTTTTAGAGGAGGATTTCGTGCGGAAACGCCCCCTCCTACCTTACCATCGAGTTTCGAACCATCTGTATAGATGTCAATGCTATCGCGTGGGGTGTTGAAATCTTCTTTCCACTCCTCCCTGCTTGGGATTCCTATACGAAATCTTCTTTCCGGAATCGATATCGAAGCACAGCGGTCTGTGCTGTTCGGAATGAAGCAAAATTTATTTAATATACAAGAGTGCCCCTGAGATACTGGTTGCCATTGCGATTCTTCCCTTAAGCGAAGAGCAACGAGCGCTGCCATCTACTTCCCTACCAAATACAGTGACAGAAGATCCAAAATAGCGTTCAGAGCATCGCTTGGCGTGGTTGTGAGCGCTCCGCTTATGCAGATCATACTGAACTGAAAAGCCTGAGGTTGGTCTCTTTATCTAACGCAGGCCACCACACGATCACTCCATACAGGAGGATTTGGTCTGACGACTGCTATAAATATTCATCGACGGATCTGGGGACTGAGGCCCCACCTCTTATCTATGGCCTTTTTACAAGTATAGAGGGCTACTTAAGCCTTCTCATAACGCTGAACTATATTTGAGAAATCTCGGTTTGGAAATATTTTCAGTAGGATTATCACTTATCTAAAAGTAAAGACAGTAAATTAAAATTAAATGAAATATTACATAATTGGCAGCAAACGAAAGGTATTTGGGATAACTTTACTAGAAAAATTGGTTGAAAAGCTGAACAGTTCAAATCAAGGCGATGCCAGTCGATGAGAGCTTACAAAAAATTTTATTGTCTGACAATTTTTGTAACTTAGAAACATCGAAAAGAGAACTAATTGAAACCATGTTTGCTATTATTCAAATTAATTACACGAAAGAGCTATTCTTGACGCGAAGAATGAGGATGTCCATCAACTCAATAATGTTATTTAATCCAGCATTCAAAGTGATGAGATAACATATAAGTCGATAAGGACCGTTTTGGAAGCAGATAAAGCAGTTAATTATCAAACGGAATTTTCGAACCACATTAATCTTTCAGGGATGACCCCACATATTGAAAATAGGTGTGCCAATTATCATGTTGCGGAATATTAATCAGCCACAACTCTGCCACGGCACGCGACTCGCAGTTAAGAAACTGATTAAGAACGTAGTGAAAGCAACCTTTTTAACGTTTCTCATCTATGTAACAGTAATGTGCCACATCTAAGCATGCTTTATAAAAATTTTAAATTATAATATTGTGGCATACATATTTATATATAAATCGTTTTTCAATTGTTTTTTAAATTTAATTTTATATCTTTTGCATTTACATACGTAAATATGTGCGTATATTTACTGCGATTTCATTTTGAGTTTTATTTTTCAAGGTCTCATTTGATGATAGGAAGTATATGCACTTGCGGCCTTTCGACCAAATCCTCGCAGCTATCCGTTTCCCACGTAAACGTACTCCTGATAATTTTAGAGCAAAAACAATCTAGCGCTTTCCATTATACTATTTACTAGAGTTGGATTTTTTTAGTTCACTTTAAAGATTAGTTCACTTCTAGTTCGTTTAGCTCATTGAGCTAGCTCTTCTGAGTCTTAGTTTGTTCTTCTTAATAAACTCTAGTTCACCTAATTAAACTGCTTCGGTAGTAGGAGCTGAGTCACAGAATAACAAAAATGTATATTTTATAACGCATTCATATACAAGTAAAAGATTGAACTAGTCTGTAAAATAAAAAGAACATTTTTCTAAATATCCATGATCCTCTGCAATAACTACACAATTCAATCGTCTTCATTCCATCGTCTTTCTGCAAAATCACGAAAGGATGTTTGGTTTTCATATGGCGATTAAAATTTTCATGAGAGCTACCAACAATTGCAAATTCAGCGGTGCCTACATTTCAGTTTATTTTCTTCAATTTTGCCTTCGAAATGCGAAAAATTGAGCTTCGCTTTGTTATCTGTAAACAAATCCCAAAAGCTCAACTCAAATTTTTTTTTTTTCACAAATTACACTAAACGGTGTTAAACATTGGAAATTCAACGAAATAAAACTAGATGCCATATGTGTTAAAATTATATTTCCATTTTTATTGGAGTGTTGCCACAGAAAATTTTAGTTCACTTTAAACAACTCCCAAGTGTACAAAGGAGTGCGAAGCTTTGCAGGAAGCGGAGCTCTATGCTCTTCACCTACTAAAGCTCTGAATGCGATTTTACATTTGCCTCCGCTTGACGCAATTGTTCGAGAGATAGCCGTTATTGTAGCATTAAGGCATAGAAAGGTAGGTCGCTGGACACATGGTGCATCCGGCATCAATTTAGGAAAAATCGAATGACGATTCTCGAATTTTTTGAATCGATTCACGGATCGCATCGGAACAAAAAATCGAATCTCCGATTACATCGATTTTAAAACGGCATCTCTATTTCGATTTCGTTTTCGTAATCAAACACAAAAAAGTCGAACAAAAGAAAATACGAAATTAACAAACAACAAGTAAAAAAGTCAAAGTTCAGGCGGAGCCGAACATTAAATACCCGGGGCAAGTATTCGATTTAGTTTTTTCACCTTTCCAAAAACTACCGCTACGTGGTAGACAGGGGTGGTTTTACGTCTATTTCAAACATCTTCGATGGAGCGTTCAATTAGATATGAAAAAAGCTTATATAGATATATGTGGGCCCATTTCCAAAATTCCAAATAATATTACTTCTTTTCAAGGGATTGTTGTTAGTATCAATTTTGGTTAAAATTAGCGTCCTTAAATTTCGAAATATCGAAGTTTCAAGCATTTCTGAAATTTACCGTTATATGAAAAGTGGTCGTAATTTTAGTCCGATTTCAATAATTTTCAACGGTAGAACATACATAAGTATATGTGACCATGACCCAAGATTTTATCATAAACGTATTTCTTGGTAAAGAATTGTTGCAAGCATCAATTTTGAATAAATTAGCTTTAACATTTACTGATTTATCGAAGGTTTCGTGTTTCTCTAAATTACCGTTATATGGGATGTGGGCATGGTTAATGCCCGATTTTAAAAATTTTCGGCCATTTGGTATGTAGTATCAAGTCCAGCAACTGTGCCAAGTTTGGATCAAATTGGTATATTGGCGGTTACCAAGATATACACATGTAACCATAAAATTATTTTAAATATCAATTTTGAGTGAATAAGCTTCAGTAGTTACTAAAATATCCCAGTTTTAGTAAAAATTATGATGAAATGTTTAAGATTTTGTAAACCAAAGAAATTGATTTCCGAGCTGGACCTGTCCCCTCCAATAGGAACAATTCGAACTCTACAATTACCTCATCAAGTTTCTAAACGATTTTTTTTTATAGTCAGTACGAATTGTTATTCATTAACCCAGTGTGATAAAGTCGTAATGCATTATATGCGTAATAAATAATGTAATGTATTTCTTATGAATTCTAGATTCTATTACTGCTTAATATGTAATCAGCATTCTAATGTAGCCAAAAAGTCGCAAAAAATTCCTACTAAATCATATTCTGGTAATGAAAAAATGAATGCCCCACTTTCCTAGAACATCGCCGTGTGGAAAAAAAATGCATTTTCGAATGTGAAAAGACCTGTTTTACTCATTACTTTTTCGATTACTATACATTACATTTTCCCACTGGGTAATTGGATGTGATAAAATAAACTCGCAACTTCAAGTTTTAAGTAAATATTTAATTTTCATATACATACATATTTCTAAATTTGTAAGTACCGGTATATACAAATAAACACGTTTTTAAAATACATACATACATATTTACAGAACTAAAAGTATTCGTAATAATTAAAACTAAACAATGCTTTAGCGTATTTAATTTGACTTAAGTAGCTTTAGTTAAAAACTATTGGCAACCGGCTCCGTTTTTTTTTGGTATACTTGGAAAAAGCATAACGAGTTCCCTCAAGGGAATCAATCACATACAAATTTCGTATTAAGTCCTTCATTGTACTCGTAAGTAAACACCATTTGCTTGCTCCATTGACTTAGAAAGTATACAGCTGTTTAAATAATTTCTGTTATTGATTTATCAATAAGACGGCATTGTGTAGTGAAATAAAAAAATATAAAAAATATAAAAATCAAATAATCGGCAAGTAATTCTTGTGCAAGAAACAACAAATATTTGCATAACCGTTAATAACTAAGAACCCTCAACGCACACATCCAGGAACACCCGAATCTCCACTACATATACATATGTAAGTGCGTATGTACATAAATATTATTTATGTACATACAAAAAAGACAATATGGTGGATAAAAAGGAAACTGGATTTAACTTAAAATTAGTAGATATGATTAAACAACTGAGATATGTTGAGGTATAGCTGACATCTTGGCCGGATCAGCTTCGGACACAGCGTCGGTGAGTGGGCACGCATATACATATACTCGAACAAACATACACATACACATTTATGCGTGCGCGTGTTCTTTTGAGTCCATTTTGGCAGTTCTTGGAGGTAAGGCGCCTCCTTAATGTTTTTTTTTTTAAAGCTTTTGTTTACAGATTCTTTTTCGCTTGTGTGTCGCACGCTGCGGCTATCGGTAAACCATTCAAATTTTTGGCGGTGATGTCATTGTTGTTGTCGCTGGCCGTTGCAGCAGCAGCGGCGGCGGCACATTTGGCATTCAAAGCATCTGCTGCTTGCACTTGTTTCTTTTTGTACGATTTCTGATAGAAGTCATTGAAGAGGTAGTAGAAGAAAATGGCATTGGGTAGGGTGAAACAAACGGACCATCTGGGATAACCGCAATCGGTGTACAGGAGCTGAGTTTGATGTATGAAGACCATGCAGAATTGGATCTGTGAAAAAATATAAAAAATATGTATAGTGTGTTCATCTTTCAAAACAGTTCAATCGGGCATATATGCATATCAGAGCACTGTACGATTACGTTATTCATATGATGATTAATAAATACGACAGCAAAATGACATCGCGTGTTCTTGTGTGAGTAGCTGAGTCATACTATTTTCAGACATGAAGTTAATCGAGCCAACTTTCTAGATTAGGGCGCTAATTGAGCTCGACTTACCATACACAATTTCAGTTCGTTATTTCTCGATAAGTGATTAATTGAATGTATTTTTTCATGCAACCCTGCAGGGTATGCTTAATCTTGACTTTGAGGTATGCTATCAGCTGTTTGTTCTGGTCTTCTGATGACAAATTTTATTTTAAAATTTAACCTAATTTGCGGGAAAACTTTACCTAAAATTGTATAAATTTTCCTCAGAAGTAAATATATATATTTCGATACTTGTATACCGAAAGCAATAACAAAATAAATGGAAGTTGTTATTTTTGTACTACCGCATAGAATTCGGGCTTGGTTACCGAACAGTTCGGCCATGAATGGTGGGGTTCGAATTCGGTTCGGCTTCGGCCCAAATTGGCAGAGTAATTTGGCAAAAAATATATAAAGACAATTTTTTTATGTTATAAAAATTTCAATTATATATATATTTTTTTTACATGAGTGGCTTTGTAGCGTTTCTGACATTTCATTTAATTGTTTTATTTTTAAGGCAACTTTATATTTTTACTTGTCGTTTTAATTTTATTTCCTGCCCAAAGTTTCAATGCCCGATATAACTATAGGCAAGTTAAATTTTCAAAATTGCTTTGTGTGTACTGCACTAAACTAAGCTATCGATTTTTTCAAGCTATGTAATTTTTTACTCGGTTTCGGCCGAACTTCAAGTAAAAAGCCGACAGTTAGGATTCGGCCAAAAATTGGAATTTCGAGTTTTTCGTTCTATCAAAGTGCCACTGTACGTTAACTATTAAATTTTTACAAAGATGTTGGCATAAACAAAGCAATAAAAAGTTGCACCTAAATATTTATTGTAAACTAAAATAACATACAAAAAAAATTGATATACATAGGTATAGACAGTTTCGGCAATTCACTACAAATTTTCTATGTAACCGTGCAGGGCTCTAATACATAATTATGTACGTATACCCAAAATGCTTTTAATAAAGGCTGCGTTTCTTTATACATTCCGGATAATCCCATTTCACAGCCGGAATAAACAGAATGCGTTTGAAATATACGTTAACATATCATCAGGAACGTTCTAAAGAATAAGTAAACAAAAAAGTTTATTCCAAACGTTCAGAATGAATAAAGAAATGCAGCCAAAGTGTGATGGAATTTTTCATTGCTCTTATAAGAAATGTACTAAATATACTGTGCAATTAAAAAAAAAGTTCGTTCGTTCGTTCGTTTATATTTTTTGACATTATATGAATTTCCTTAAAAGAGCGCCGCACTGAGTTTTCAATCACACCATGCGTATGCCTATAAATTGTGTTAAATATGGATGCCGAAATCCGTTTGATATATGTATTAATATGTTATTAATTTATCATACAGTGGTCAATCAACAAGTGACAAAACAGAATATTCACACTTAAATCACAGCCGAACCATATAAGAGCATAAGAGCGTTGCGTTTAAGCGCTTCAATGTCAAATAACCGGTCTTTTTGCTCATTAAAATGTACGAGTAATTACGCACTAACATCAAATCGCAATACTTACCATTTGAAGATTGGTTATGTGCGACTTCCACCACAGATACTTTTGCATTTTCGGGCCAAATGCCGATAATAAGTAATAGGTGTACATAACAATATGCACAAATGAGTTGATCCAGCCAATGAAGGTGCCATGCCCGCCGGGATAGTATTTGGTGGTGCCCCATGAGATCAACGGCATAACTGAGTGATGGTATACGTGTAGGAATGTAACTTGACGTTCATTTTTGCGCAACACAAAGAAAACTGTGTCCAATAATTCGGTGATTTTCGCCAAATAGTAGACATAGACGCCACGCGCTTCCTATGTGAAAAGTGAGTAAGTTAGATAGCAAGTATTTATGTAGTTTATTTGAGTTATCTTACCCTAAGACCTTGCGGTGTGAAAGAACGGTTAACCGGCTGGCAGCGCCAATTGTACGTTGTCCATGCCACACAGCCCTATGAAGAAGAAAATAACATAAACAACAATGAAATAAGTCATACAAAATTTGATTGAGAAATTATAAAACATCAAATAAGTAACTAAATAAAGTGAGAATTTCATTCTAAAGAAAATTCTAAAATCTCTGCGGAGGCACATTAAACAAGTAAAGTAATAAAACAGCTTTTTCGCTTTTTTTGTGGAAAAGAGAAACGACTGGCCTTTGTTGAGCTCGGCCAAAATCGCTTAGGCGGCTACAACGCCAAATAAGAAGAAAAAGTAATTCCGTGAAATAGCGGTGTGTTGTTTTGAGTTAAAAAAAAATCTAAATTAAATTTGTATCCTAAATTAAATGAGGAAGCATTTTTCTCAATAGTGCGAAACGCATGTGGGATTTCGGCTCGTCCACTCCGCAACGAACGGGAGAACTGTCCAATGAGTTATTCAGAGAGATGATTACAACACCATGAACTTGGCGGCTGAAGTCACCCAAACAAAACCCAAACTATTTCCCGAGCAAAGGCGAATTTCCTCTAAAATTGCGAGCCCCGTGGAAAGCGAAGAATGTGGCCTTTAATTCTTGGACGCACCAGCGGGAACTGGCAAGACTGCTGAATTTGCTACTAGCAAGTTGCCAAGTATATTGCACTAGCTATTACCTCCTCAGGGATATCAGTTGACTCTGAAGCTTGCGAGTCAGGATACATCAACTTGCAACATTAGCAAAACAATGGTGGCGGGGCTATGTTGCAACAATGCAAATTAATAGTTTGGGACGAATGTACAAAGTCACACAAGTATGCAATCGAGGCACTAGCTCGAAGCTTGCAAGATATCCGCCGCAGCCGTTTGCTGATGGGTGAAGTATTCGTATTGCTCGCTGGAGATTTTCGGCAGACCCTACTTGCCATCGAGCGTGGCACTGCAGCAGGGGAGATAAGTGCGTACATCAAGGCTTCGCCATTGTGGGTATGGCAGTATATAATGGATTACTTAACTTTTTTTTTTAAATAAAAGTTGCTATATTTATGTGGTGAAATGATTTGTTTCCTTTTTTGTAACATTTATGAGAGATAAAGTAATACTCAAGCAATGATTTTAATTTTTGATAAAAAAATAAGCTTAAAATATAATCATTATTTTTGATAAAAAAATAGTTTCAGGCGCAAAGTATGATATACAGCGTGGCGACGAATAACTGCTAACCAGGTTTTTTGAGAAATAAAAGGGTCCTTTATAGATTTTGCAAAAAAGGATTTTATTGTTAATTTTCCACAGATTTTACAAAAGTTGTATTAGTTAGTTTTTAAATTGTAATCCTTATCTACATTTGCCAGCAGTGTAAACTTTGAGAGAAAAGTTCAATTGGCACGCAAGACTTTTCCAGGTGTATTTTTTCTCAGGCTTTGTACAAAAAAATACAAAAAAGAAAAAAACTGTATAAGGTTGGTCGAATGAATGGCCGTCCTAGTCACCAGTTCCGAGTCTATTCGATTTTTAAGTATGAGGCCTTATGTTGGACGAAAGGGCGAGTATAAGGGACTCAAAATAGAGAAAATTTGCCTATGGTTACAGAAGATAATGAATAAATTAACTGACGAGGACCTGCGTGCCAAATGAACTTTTCTCTCAACGTTTACACTGCTGGTAAATGTAAATAAGGATTAAAATTTAAAAACTAATTAATACAACCAAAGTAAAATGTGTGGAAAATTAATAATAAACTACTTTTTTCGCAAAATCTATAAAGGACTCTTTTATTTATCAACAAACCTGGGTAACAGTTATTCGTCGCCACGCTGTACATAACCAAAAACTAAAAATAAAAATTTGGTATTTATTTCTTTAGGTGAATAGAACCGACCCAGGGCTCGAGAGGTTTCGCTGCGTCCTTGCTAAAAAAAAAACGGACGCTTTCATCATACTAAGGGCAGCTTTATTATGTAACCATTAATTCTAAAGCTCCCTTTATATTTAAATGTTGCATTAACATTTATAGACTTAGACCAAGATATAGATTTAAACCAAGGTTTATAACCAAAAAACACACATACGTCAACAACTCATAACAGATATGCTTTACTTAAGACATAGCTACATATGTACATATATAATTTAATGCAACCTTTAAATGTAAAGTGAGCTTTAAAGTTAAAGGTTGCTTGAGAAAACGGCCCTAAGTGATTTTCATTTAACTGGCCAATCATTGATCTTACTCATTTGCATCGCTTTTCTCAATATCGCATCGCTCCTTAACCATTGGCAAAGTTTCTAACGGCAGTAAACAGGTTTGTTCCGAGTGAGTTCATAACACCGAAAAAGGCTAGTAATTCCAAATGGTATCACGGCCCTACTACTTGGCCCTTGTGGGAGGAGGAGTCTGTTCTTCGTAGTTTCAACCTAAACAAAGACTTTACTTTTACTTTAGAAACCTTTTTACTTTTCCACACTATTTTTCCACAGGCCAACGCAAACGGGCATTTCAATAGCAACGCATTAAAAACTAAATATTCTCTCGATGGCTTTGAAAGCGCTGAATTAGATTGCCGTTAATATTTTTGCCAAGTTCTTCTTTTGAGGTTATTGATCTAAGCGCTTAGAGCTAAGAATTAGAAATATGAAAAAAGCGAAGATTTTACCTAAGTCATGCTGGTTGGCAAATTTAAAACTGGTTCGGGGTTATGTTTCCATATTTTGAAATTGTTCTGTTTATTGTAATTTTGACAATTCTTTATGTGAAACGGTTGTAAAACTGCATGCAACCATATACGTATATTGAAATGAGAACTCGAACTCGTATTTATGGCGTCTCATTCAAGCGACTATGCCGCTTTAATTATTAAAATGGTAAACATGAATTTTTGCAAAATTTTGTTTTGAATTCAATAACTTTCGGAAATAAACGTATTACTCATCCTCTTTGGATATACAAACATAAATACATATCTACGTAAATAAATTCTAAATATATTCACATACTTCCGAATATTTTATGCCCTTAAGGGCGCATGCCCCCTAAGATTTTATAAGGAGATAAAGAAGAGTCTCTAATGAACAGTGTGCCAAATAACAATTTAATTAGCTCTACTGAAAATACCTATAATTTGAGTTGAGTCGTTATAGCAGAAGCTTTTCCAAAGTAAATAAAAAAAAAACAATATTTTGCCCAATTTCAAACTCAAACTGGGAAAGTGAACTTAAAAAAGTGTCTCTTAAAATTTATGGGCGTGGCAAACATCGATAAAACCGTTAAGTTACCAACTTAATAACTTTTCATACAAAATTGCGGTGACTTTTTAATTTTTATAATTACGATCCATATTTCCCAATTGGTTTGATCAAATCATATTAAAAAAAAAAAAAAAATTCCATAATAAGAAGTTATGCATTTTTTAATTTAATTTAATTTTTTAATTCGATTTAATTTTTTAATTCAATTTGATTTTTGAATAGTTTTATTCAAATATTAAAAATTCAAGCAGAAAAGCTAACGCAGAATTGTCTAAATGGAAAGGCCTATTGCACAAATTATATATGTATTTACGAGTATTATTTTATATGGGGAATTTCCTAAATTGATACAAAGAAGCGACAAAAATTGCTCTAAAAGGTTGAGTTTGTGACCTTTTGCAATAATTTGGAAATGAAAACTGGTTTTAATAAATTAGGCCTACAAATAAAAATTCAATTCAAATGCCACACTCACATGTGTAAATATGTACATTCATATGTACATATGTTTGAACGTATAAATATGCATAATAAAATCAACAAAAGACTCAAAATACGACTTACCTCGTAGACCATCCATGCGCTGACCAATACCTGTAGGAAATTATACACAATTAAAGTCTTTTCCAATTTGAAAGGCTTGCGATCGTGCATATAACGTGGACCCCAAGAAAGCACGAAATACAAGTAAAGCCCCACAATAGAGAAGATCGGTACTGGCGATTTAACTAGGAACCAATCATTTGTACGTGGATCTATTGAGGAAGTGAAAAAATGCTATTATTAGTATAAGATAAAAAAGTAATTGTCAGCTTAAGTACTTAGCTTGAAATAAATTGCTACTTCAAAATATAGTTCTTTTCTTTTCAATGTTGCTTAGGTACATACATACATACGTACATATTTCAAAGGATTGTATGGTATTCAAAGAATATACTACATACTATATGTACGAGCACACATACATAAATGATATTTCGAACAGATTTGGCGGATTAAACTTTAAAGATTTCAAGTTTGTTGATACGAATATCTGTGGTCATAAGCAATAACCGCCTAAGTCGAAAACTATGAATTCGAGAAAAAACGTTTTAAACATGTGGATTGTAATGTTAGCCTTATGGGGAAACCAAAATATTTTCGCCTATAACTTTTTAAGTTGCCTAGCTGGTGAGATGGGGATTTCACGTACGCATGGAATATAGGGCTTGTATTTAGAATACATTAGCATATACTATACATAATTCCATTATTTCTTAAGTCGACTTAGGCGGTTATTGCTTGTGACCACAGATATATATATAAGTATTTGTTTACTTACCAGCCAACTCAACGAATAGGAAATTCCACACGTCGCTTTCTGTTTCATTCATATATGCCATTTTTCTTTAGTGTTTTTGACTTCCTGCCCTATTTGAATTCGACTAGAGTTTAACAAACTGCTTTGTTTATTATTCTCAGCGTAAGCACTCAAGCTACTGCCAATCTGTATATTGGATCTTTGATGGGACTCGTGCTACTACGCAGATTTCCTCAGCTGTATGCTTTGTCTTTTTATTGCTGCAATTTAAAAAAAAAAAAAATTTTAATTAAGTTATTGAAATACTAATATTCTGTAAGTGCATGTGATTGTAAGAATAAAATGACAAAAGTGGGTATGAAAAGAATGGAACTGTAAATAAAAGAAAAACAACAACACAATAAATTAGTCACAACATAATTCAATCAATTAATATTAAAATTAAAATTTGCGAGCTACTGCCAATCGATGGCGATGTCATGCTTTAAAAATTTTAAGAAAAAAATATCCGCCAATGGAATTGCAATGCAAAAGCCGCCCCCGGTTAAATGTTGAACACAAAACATACATACATTTATATGTATGTATATGCATGTAAGCATTTTGGACTCAAGATGATACGTATTCATAAAATAGCACAAAGAAGACATTAGTTCAGCACTCGTGGGGCAACCTTTTGGTTTTGTATCTTTTTTTGAATTACCCAACATGAGTTTCAACTTTTCTTTTGTGAGCAAATTGCCGGCAATTAGCATCCCAATAAACATTTTTGTTACTTCTCAATTTGAGATGCATTTGAGAATCAGTATTTTTTTTCCAATCTCAAGCGTTAATTCTCAAATGCATCTCGAATAAAAGCACGTTTTTGATATGAAATTTTCGTTTATTTTCAAACGTGTGTGGAGCAGAACGAAACGAAAATTTTAAAATTTGGTTGATGCAAAAAATTTTGTTGCATAGTTTGTTTTGAAGAACAATTTTGCGACTGATGTAGGAGGCTACTGATGGACTGCGACATCTGTGCCATGTTGACACATATGGAACGGAACGGAATGCTACCGTTCTTAAAATGATAAACAATGTTCGAGAAAAATTTGAGAAAATGCTTAGTTTCAAATGATAAACAATGCTGAAATCAAATTGAGAAATACGATTTTATCAAACGTTTGAAAATTTTTGTTTCAGTGTTTGTTGGGATGTAAAATATAAATATTTACATATACATACTTATATATATTTACACGTATATAAATGTGTCATTCCATTGCAACGGTCGTTATACATTTGTATGTATTATTGTAGTATGGAATACGAATTCGCAATATGAAATCGAACAATAGTACTAGGAGCACTAGTCTGCACCATATAGGTAAGGTAGTTCACCCTTACATATATCCGACGATAAGATTTGCAAAAATATCTTTGAGCGTAAATGTAATTGCATGAGCCTGTGAATGTTGCTCTTACTCCAGAAACATGCAATTGCATGAATTTTTCCTGTATATTAAACTCTTTTTTTCTGGATTATGTCTTTCTTTCAGTAAATGGGAGAGATGTGATATGGTAATTGCAATTTATCTTATTCCTCGCTTGGCGACTTTGGTTGGCTTGGAGAGTTTACCAAATCAATTGTGGCAAATAAGACAACAAAAGTCTCGTCCTTTTTAACGTATTTCATCTATTCGAATTCCGGGATCCCGGACTTTTTAAAGTCGCGAAAATCCCCAGATTCTTGGCAAGTATATTACTTTTTTATTTACAAATATCAATATGTTCGCGAAACCCTGTGCCAAATATATTAAAATTAGGGTTTTTAGTTTTTCACGCTGACGTCAGTAATTCAAAAATGATTAAAAAAATTCAAAGAAAGGTGCTTGGAGAAGAAGTATTGATAGGTATAAAATTAATGAGGAAATCTTGTAGAATTTAAACATATTCGAGTTTCTGGTGCAGAAAGGCTGGTAAATACTGAAAATGCCGTTTTAAAATTTTATCCTTGAAATTTCGCAATACTTGTTTTTAAAAAAAATATATGTTAAGGGCTTATATAAAGTCGATAACATTCTTCTAACTTCGTCAGCTTAAAAATTACCTACTCGTCCTTGTGAATCCAAAAAAGTTTAATTTTCTAAATTCTATAGACTAAATTAATGCCATCCCAAAAATCCCGGAATCGGAAAAAGCCGAAAAATTAACATCCCTAATGCACATATCTATGTACATATATTAGTATAGGTGTCGAAAAAAGTTTGTATGTTAGGTTAGGTTGAAAACCAGTCGGTCCAATGGCCAACTTACTTAGACCTTACAGGTTCGTTATGAAACCATTTTGGAGCTTTAATGGAGCGTAGGATTGGTTTTGTTCCTGCAATGGATAGTTCCGTAAGAGAGCTAATAAAGTGCCTACCTAAAAATCCCGCTCTATTCTTAGCTAAGGCTGGACAGCTACAGAGGAAGTGATCGACTGTTTCCTCTTCTTCCTCATCTCTGCAACTTCTGCAATATTCATGGAAGAATATGCCGAGTCTCGAAGCGTAGCTACCAAATACCCAATGAACGGTTACTCAAGCCATGATCATCCAAATATTCCCTCATGCCTTAAGAGGCTGAGCAGATATTCAGTTT